TTATACATATCTATAAATGCACGTATACAAACACTAACAACGTTTAATAACCATGCAGGGACAGACAAAAAAAGGCAAAGTAGATCCACAACGACAGCGACTGCAGTGTAAAAGACATTAAAGATTTTATTACTGGCATTTGGGGAGAAATAAAATAAAATAACTGCGACATCTACTAAGGTCAAAACATTCTCTAACTTAACAAGATCGCAATAATGCAGAGACGGGTTGAGGTAACAGTTCACTTAAAAAAATTAAAAGGTAGAAAAGAATAAAAATAATAAAACAAATCTAAAGAGCCTTACAGTTTCGATTTTAGATTTCGAAACAGATGCTGGTACAAATGTGTATAAACTGACATTTTGGGTGAGACGCATCTGTCATTATGCTGACTAAGAGAAATGTGCACTGCAACAAGAATGCAATTTTTTAAAATAAATTTAATATGCGTCAGTCAGTTTTTGGATATCATGAGTTATTGGTATAATCTTATTGCAACTCACCACCTTGCCAGAAAAGCGCGCTACAGAAAAATAGCAGGGAACAAGGCAAGAGGAAGACCAAGGATCGAGGGTGTGAGAGATACCATGAAAACATACAATATTATCCAATCCAGCCAGGCCATCAAATTTGCTAGAGACAGAAAGCTCTTTCTCCCCTCGACGCCCAAGAGGTACTAGAGGACGAATAAAATAAAGTAACTAAGGTATAATCGTAAAGCATGCTCATTTGACTTGCTTTTGCTTGTCTAAACAAACACACACACACACACACACACACACACACATACACACACACACATACACACACATACACACACATACACACACACATACACACACACATACACACACATACACACACATACACACACACACATACACACACATACACACACACATATACACACAAACACATCTATCTTGAATAAAAGTAGATTTAAATTGAGTCACGACACAGTGTAATCAGGTGCTAATCAAAATTTTGGGCATAATGGAGTTATTGATACCTTCTCGAAGCTTGTTCATTAAATTGTCTTGCATTTGAAGAAAAGAATACCCATCGCAGTTACACAAAAGTCAAGCATGTTTCGAAAAATAAATAGATAGCACTTAAATAGTAGCTAAACACTCTACGACAACTCTTAGGGTCTGAGTTCCAACCCTTCACAGCTTGGGCGCGTTCCCGCCCGTACCAGAGGGGTGTGTGACGTCACCAGTCTTGGCGGTGTCCAGCAAGGTCTTGACCACCACGTCCTTCACCTCATCGTGGGTCAAGGCCTCATGTGGGCCGATCTCCTCCTTGTCTCTTCTGAGGGGTGGAAGGTTGACGGAGTGCTTTTTAATTTTTTAAAAATTAAATTATTCTTTTTTTTTTGGGGGGGGGAGATGTCGTTGTAGTCGTTGTTGTTGTCATTGTTGCTGGTGTTGGTGGTGGTTGTTGTTGTTGTTGTTGTTGTTGTTGTTGTTGTTGTTGTTGCT